TGAGATTTTCAATCTTTTGGTGTTTGATCGACTTTATTTTTCATGGAAAATTATGATTATTTGTGGGAAGCTATCAAACTTGACAAAAAATTTTCGACAACATCCGTCATCCTCCCGCACGAACGCCGCCTTTACCTCCCAGCCTCCTCCTACTCCACCCTCCACCACTTCTCCACCACCTGCACTTCTCCACCACTTCTCCACCACCAGCTTTATCCCACCACCTGCACTTCTGCACTTGTCCACCACCTGCACTGGAAGCCCAACTCAACCGACGTCAAACGACTCTCCACCACCAGCTTCATCCCACCACCGCCCAACTCCGCCACCGTCCCAATTCCTGCCGCATCAATCCAGGTGCTCCAGCAATTCCTCCACCATCAATCCCACCACCGTCCAACTCCCCCACCATCCCAATTCCTGCCGCATCAATCCAGGTGCTCCAACAATTCCTCCACCATCAATCCCACCACCGCCCAACTCCCCCACTGTCCCAATTCCTCACGCATCAATCCAGTTTCTCCACCAATTCCGCCACCATCAATTGAACCTTCGACCAACTCCTCAATCGTCCCCAATTCCTCCCGCATCAATCCAGTTCCACAAATTCCTCCACCATCAATCCCACCTCCGACCAACTCCCCAACAGTCCCTTCGCCCACCGTCCCTTCGAGTCTTCGACCCAGTAACTCACCCACCATCCCTTAGCCCCTTCGCCCACCGTCCCTTCGACCCTTCGCCCACCATCAAAACGTCGAATTCTGGGTCTCCACCCTCCCCCCCTTCGCCACCCATACGTGGGTATTATTCGCCGTCGCCGTCGCCGTGGTGGAAGACACAATCGCCTTCCCAATTCCTCTCTGCCTCCACCACCAACCGGGCACAAATGTGATTTCCACCTTGGGTGGAAAATATAAATCCAGTAGAAGTGGAGGAAAGTCTTTTCACGTTTTTGAGGGAAAATCAGGCGCGTGAGGAAATTTTGGGAAAATGTTTTATCTGGAAATTTAGAGCAATCAAACACCTTAAAAAGTGGGAAAAGGAATTCATTTTCCATTTTCCATGGAAAATAAGTCCTATCAAACGGGGCCTTATAGACTTTGTTACAGTAGAACA